CCCATTTTGGTTCCCCCCAAAAAAAAAAAAACGAGGTAAAAAAAAAAAAACCGGTACCCTGTTTGCCGAGTTCACGAAGTGAATTGGCTTGTTTTACAACGTCGTTGCCAAGCGACGAAAACCCAAACCCCGATGGCAAACACCGGGGGGGGCGGCTTGTTTTACAACGTCGTTGCCAAGCGACGAAAACCCAAACCCCGATGGCAAACACCGGGGGGGGCGGCTTGTTTTACAACGTCGTTGCCAAGCGACGAAAACCCAACCCCGATGGCAAACACCGGGGGGGGGGGCCGAGGGGGCGTACTCTTATGCTTTGCATGCCTTAGCGGTTAGACCATTGACCACGCGTCCTCGAGAGGACGGAGCATTGTTCCCACAGGACCGATCACCGATGGCCAATCGTTCCTTCCTACTTTGCCAAAGGTGGCTCAAAAATGTCTTCCCTAGTCTGTCTATCCTACCGATGTCACTTCCCGCCTTTTCAAACCACTTCCTACTCCCCAGTACCGCTACCGTCCTCTCCTCTCTATTCCATGCCTCAAACATCTCCCTGTACGTCCCTTGTATTCTTCCCAGCTCAGTCATGTACACTTCCCTCTCCTTTTCGTACCACGGACATTCCGCGACTACATGAACACTGTCTTCGCATTCGAAGCCGCAATCACATTTGAACTTGTCGTCTTCGTCGTCTACCGTCCTATGTCTTCGTCGACGTTCGCGAAGGCCTATGTCCCCGGTCCTGAATTTGACCTTAAGCTTTGTCCCTGCATCCATTGGTCCATGTAGGTAATCCTTGAACCCTATTCCTTCTTTCAACATTCCGTACACTTCTAGACCCTCCTTATCCTTGGATTCTTTCCTTAGATTCTGTTCTTCTCTGTCGGCACAAGCAACAGATATCTTCTTCTTGAACCCCTGTAGACCCTCCGTTTCCAGCGTTTCATCTTCGTTGATGTCCAATCCCTTCCATACGTCCTCTACAACCTTGACCCATTCCGTGGGTTGTCTACCCCTCTTTTTGTTTGCCCACTTCGCCTCCCATACTATTCTCGGCAACCTCTCCTCTCCCATCCCGC